GATTTGCCCTCATTGAGTGAGTGTCCTAGATGAAATGAGTAATGTGAATTCTGCATCAATCGTTTATGCCGGCTGTACACACCCGTCGAGAGCCACTCGCTTCGACTCTTCGAGCTTTTGGTGTTTTCGACGCTCTCAACCAGACCTACCATGTACACGCGCATTGTGTCAGTATTGAACTACGGACACAGTTTATCGTACCAGCCATAATTGACCTGTATACTGCTGCTTCCTCACGTAAACACAACAGGCAACTAAATAAACGAATGTGTATATGTTCGTTCTTGTTTTCCTCGCGAGATCGAACGAGAACCTTTAATTCGGGTGCAAAAAAGTGACACGTGGAGAGGTAGCGAGACAAGATGAAAGCTCCATGTATACACTCGTTCTTGGCCCGCCTCGTGATGTCTCGGCGACTGTGCACAGCCGGCATTATATTATGATAGACGACATTATACAGTGTCTGATATACACTGATGACACTAATTTAATTTTATCAAATTGACTACTTATAGGTACCAAGTACCAAGGATCGATAAAATCCTTAAATCCTTTTGTGTACCTCATTACTTATTCTAAATATCCGAAAAATATATCAAACAATAATATATATTATTTAATAAAATATATTAAACTGGAAGTAGCAAAAAAATATGGTTTTGTGTTTTTGAACACTTGTCTACACTATTTACCATACATTATGCAATGACAGCGATGATTGTTCTTTAGCTAATAAGTTTTTATATCGACATAATACTGGACGTATTTTGTGCATTACGTTCGTGCAATATTACTTTTGAGTTTTTGGTATTTTACAATTTGGATCCTCTACTCAGGGCCAGATTTAGAAGTGTCTTCATGAAATTCTAAAGCTATAAAAAAATGAGAGCCAAGTTAGGGCCTCCATTTCTTCATAGCTCTGTGGTCCCCAGACTTTTAAATCCGGCTCTGCATCTACTCGTGTTACAATTGCGAAAAGTACGATATGTTACTAACACAAGAATAGATTCAATGCACGAATTACTCTTGAAGTATTCCTATTTTGTACTTTCTAAGCGGCACATATATAATACGAGCATAGTAAGTTATTTAAGTTATTTTAAGTTTTTTTTATGTAGGTAGCAGAAGTGTTCGAAAATTAGTGAAATTATTCATAAATAAGCACTGAGTCGATTCTCTCTATACAGGCGCGAATAAGATAAATTGTCTTAAATTATGTTAAAATAATACTTAGATATTAATATTATATTATGGTATCTAACTCGTCTAATAAGTGAGAATCGATACTCTAAACGTTATACCAAAAATAAAATGAGTGAATAAAATTGTATGTTTGTTCTCTATATTTTTTTTTATAAATATGTCATACGTTGTATGTATTAGTCATTTTTTATATATTATATGCATAAAGTAAATATTAAGTTACCAAAATATCTAGTTTGGTTGTTATCGAGTTACTTTTAATTAAAAAATCGATATTGATTCGGAACATATTTTTTTGATTAGATATTGGTTTTCTTTCATATTTTTTTGATATTGTATATTTTGTACTTATTGTTAGGCAAGATCGAAGTAGTTATTTTTACTTTAAATGATAAAGCTTGTAAAGTTTATATATTTTTTTGTTTACTATAAGATTTCAAATCCAAAAGGATATTCGTGATTTTGCTACTAATTAATATTGTATACAATGATTGTATGTAATTTACTCGGAGCAAAGCTTTGTAAATCAATAAAAAAAATCTTTATAAAACTTTACATATAGGTAAATAATATTTAGAAATATCAGCTAGTTTTGTGAAAAGGAGGGTTTATTATATAAATTTGTTACACATTCTGGTTCTTTCTTGTATCTATATTTGAAATATCTAGTATATTATTTTAAAGAATATCTATACAGCTATCACTCTAAGAAACGTTTGGCCTAATTATGTACATAATATGTGATTGCACATGGGTTGTAACAAACAATATGATATTAATAAATGTATTCCAAATAAAATTGTATTTTTTTATTAATTGCTAGCGACTTTCTCTCGTACATTTTTTGCTCGGAACCCTAATTCTCTTTCTAAAATAAAAGTAGCCTAAGTTACTCCCTATAACATGTGCTGCTATCTGTCAGTGAAAGTCCCGTCAAAACAGTCCAGCCGTTTCGGAGATTACTCGGAACAAACAGACAAAACAAAATGATTCTTTTCTTATAAGTACCGTATATACTTTCGCATTTAGTAAAAAAGCTGTTATTTTGACATTACAAAGAGACACATCAATTTTATTTATCTGTATAGATGAGGTGTGAGCTTTAGCGATTTCTACCAAGCCCCATTTAACTTTGACGTTAAAAATATAAGTTTTAATATTTTGCTAAACTATACAAACACTACATAGAATATATTATATAAAGAAAATATGTCACTAATTTTTTTATCCCACAGCTGTGAGCTTCGAAATACTGGACCCCAAAATTGTTTTTTAACTATTCCTATAATGACATCAGTTACCGTTAAGGATGGTTTTATTGAAATTCCTTCTTAAAGCATTCAAAATAAATAGAAAAATACATGATGTGATAAAATTTAAAAAATCTAAGAATTTATTATTCACAATTCATCGTTCAGTAAAATTTCAACTATTGCATTGGTGTTGGTGGCAGTTGCTAGAAAATATGTAAGGGAAATAAATAAGCATATGTAAATAAAAAGCAAATTTATTTTTTATATATTATTAATTGGTACAAAATGTGTACATTTCTAAAAATATGTAATACTATATTTTTACCAAGCAGACCTCCTAATGTGGACGGAGACTGGCGAGATTCTATCATAGAAAAGTTTATAAAGTATAGTCTATATATGTAAATTGAGTAATAAAAATGTAACAGCACCTTACATATTACACATATTGTACACATATTGTGGAACTTTTGACGTTTTAATATATGTCTTGAACAAATATGATCATATATGATCAAATGTGGGGCTTTATAAAAATAACAAACTTTGTAACTATTTACGAAATAGTTTTTGTTTGAAATAGTGTTTAGAAATGCATTAAAATTACTCGTTATAATTTTGGAACAATAAATTACAGGTAAAAAAAGAAAATCTGTAATAAATTACAGTATATTAAGGTAGTATTAGCATTCAGCCTTTTTTAAAGTCCCCCTGCTGGGTAGGGGCCTTTTTCAATATGAGGGGATCAGGCCCTTACGGTGAAGGAAAACCTCGGGAGAAAACCTGCCTATCTGAAAGAACCTATATTAGGGTATTAAGTATTAATCTAATAAAATATTAACGTCTGAGTATTGTGCCAAACAACTATTAATTTTAAAATTAACAATCAATAAACAAATATTTCATATATTTCACTGGATTAGTACTACTAATAGTATTTTAAGCCAGATCTAGTGAGTTATAGGTATATTAGAAAAGTTTATACAAGGTTACTTTATATTGAAATATGTAATTGATTTTTGGGAAGAAGTTCATCTTTACATATCATCAGTACCTTCAACACGTACATATAATTTAGAAATAATTTTAAAGTATTGGAACATATTCTATGCTATTCTTAAATTCAGTTTAAGGAACTACAGTTTTAACATAAAAATTAAAAAATTGCTTTAATCTGTTTCATTTTTAATAATATATTGTACAAAATTCTTCATACAACTGAATATAAATTGAGTTTTGAATTATTAGGCATTTTATATACCAAAATTATGTATGGTCACTTGTAACACTATATGCAACAGGACAGGTATTTTTTCTTGTATACCCAAATTTAACACTAAACACTATTAAATATATAAAATATTAAAAAAATATAATTTTCTTATCACAAACATGAGGTTATAGTTGGAATGTCATTAATTATTGAAGAGTCAATTGGAAATGTGTACATTTTGGCACATATAATTATTATATCCTAAAAAAACCACAGTCACAAGTAGGCAAAGCATTTTTTTAAATTATTTTACAGAAATTCTATTAATTGTCACATCTGGAACTAGTTTTGCAAGACCTTACTAAAACACAGTATATGGGTCAGTAGCATAGCTAGCTTTTTTGGCAAATGCAGAAAAAAAAGGAAGTGGGGCACTTTGACTATTTTGAAAACGAATGTGGTCCACAGACAGACAGTTTTCAAATTTTTGACTTTTATCAAATCGCTCTCACAAAAGCACAGGTTGAGTAAAATTTGGTAAAAAAACTGAGCTTAGAGGACCATTGATCGTTCTTTAGAACATTCATATTCCTCATGATCCTTATAAAAAAATATATGTGGAAATTTTGGACACTTTTACTTGAGATTTTTTTCTACGTCGGCATTCCCAAAAAATGTTTTGAAATAAAATAATCTTTTGTGGTCCTTGAATCAGGGCCCCCATGCAACCACATTGGTTGCATAGGCATAGCTACACCATTGATATAGGAACTGTATTTAGAGTATTGAATATTAGTGATGATTCTATTTATTAGCTTATACAGTGTACCGATCAGGATTGAACCTGCAACGTTATCATCTAACAACCTACATTTTAACTATGAAAGATAATCATTTGTTAATGCTAGAATTGTAAATATCAAATATATAATCTAAATCTTAATCTATATACCATGAGATAAGTAGCTATCAAAAATATTATCCTGATCTTTTGAATGAAATCAAGAAGTAAATAATATATTATTTAAATATAAACATTTTGAGCATAATTTCTATTGAGTGAAACTTTATGCTCATCGATTTAAAAATAAAAGGTCAATGACCTTAGATCTATCAAATGAGTCACTTTCCAGTCTTCATGCAATAGCAGAAACAAGAAAATTATTTCCAAATACTCTTCCATACATTCTACAAACTGCGGAGGATTATAAGTATGATAAAATTTAGTTTTCAAACATTCTTACAAGTACTAATATCATATTAAAATAACACAATATTTAACCAATTGTTACAAAAAACAAGTGTAAACCCAAAAATGTTAATATTAGCTACATAACTGTGCAGTCGCAGCACTGTAGAGTATAATACAAACATTTAATACCACAGTCTTCTTCTTCATTGTTAGTTGTGGAAGCGTTCGACCTGGTTTTATGTGGTGGAGGTGATCTTAAGAACACACTATCCACGTTGTCACTTAATTTTCCTTTCTCTGATTTAATTAATACATCTACTTTATTATTCTCTAAATAATCCTTATCTGATTTGTTTTCGTTATCATTCGTATCGCCAGCGTGTTCCTGAAATATAATTATTTACTATTAACTAAACATATTTTTTTTTATTTCTATAAGGATTAAATAAAACAAAGTTAAATGGTTAAAATGTTTACCAATTATTTGGTAACTAAAACTAATAATTAATAATTACTATTAATTAGTAAATTATTAGTTAAAACTAGCGACTCACCTATATTAGCTCGGGTTCATCCCTAGGTATGTTTTGACGCTTAGTATGGACTACATAGACTATATAAATATATGATAGATTTTATATCCCTTACTTGAGTAAAGATTGGTTTCTCATACAAATTTCCGGGATCAAAATCATCCTTAAATAAAGGATTCTGTGCTTCAGTCAGGGTCTCAAGCTATCTCCATACCACATTTAAATCAGTTCAGTAGATTAAGCGTGAAAAGGCAGACAGTTACATTTAAATTCATAATATTACTATACATTATTTATTAAATGTTCGAATTATTTTCTGTGTTTATTATAAAATAATATAGAAGTGTTTCTCTAAAATTACCTTATTCTCATCTAAATCATGTTTGATAAAGGTTTGTTTTTCTTCTGGATCTTTGTTTTCTATATCTGGTGAAATTTCTGAACTGGTAACTGCTCCTGCCCCAACCCCAGCCCCTGTTATAACAGGAAGAGTTCCACTGCGTTCAGGTATTATTAAATTCGATTCATCTTCTTTCTTTTTTAAAAATGTCTCCTGGTTAGAGGAATCTCCCGACATACTTGAAAAACAGAAAAACGAACCTGTTAATAATGCATAAAATATTGTAACTAGTTACTGTTATTTGTCATGAATCAAATTTAAAGTGGAATATATCGACAGTACAAATCCAAAACTTGTTAGCAAAAGATTAAATTTCGCCTAGTAAGTGACACATAATATGTAAACAATAGCCAGTAAACTAAGTATCGTGTTACTGCAGAGTTAATCAATTCACCTTGGTAAAGCTACTAATTCTTTCTGTTCTATTTGCTCCACAACAGATAAACGTCGCCATTTGCTAATCATTGTTTCAAAATTGTTTTCTTGCATTTTGGTTGGTAAGGCACATAAGTTGAGTAAAAAGTTTTGTTTTTTGTTGATAAACGAAACAACGCTTAAAAAATCATAGACTACGCATTTATATTATAAATAAGCCAAAACAAGTAAATTTTAGTTCATAATTCCTATAATTTTAAAATTATTTTAACAACAGAACTTTTGTGTAAAAAGTAAAAACTTTTCCAATGTTAGTTGTTACCATGGTTGACAAATAAAAGTTGTTACCTTCTTTTATTTTTCTATTTAGCTTTCAAGTTGCCACCAAGACGTGACCTTGATTTTGAATATTTTTATTACAATAGCAACATTATTATCTGTGCTCTTAATTTTTTTATGAAATCATAGTAAAAGATAAGAAGTGAAAAGAGAATTAAATATCACTGAAAAGGCATGTAATTTAATAAAATAAATTATAGGTCAGTATTGCCAGCTCGCTACATAAAAGTAAAAAAAATGCTCACATGTTAAACATAGATGGCGCTCTATCGTCCGGGTGATCATTATGGTGGGAATTATAAACTGCATCCTTATGTTTGTTACGTTTTCTCGTTGGTAGCCATATTACACCGAAAGAAGATTTATTTTTCGGAGATATGTAAGAAGATGTCATGTAGCTTTTCCTTGATGAACTTGCAACATTAGGAAGTTTGCCAATAGAAGGAAAGCTAGAGCTTGCTTTTGACGTGCTTTTTCCGATTTGACTTGTTCCACTTTTGCCTGTAACTCCACTTCTACCAGTGGAGCCTGTGCCCGATTTCCTCATTATTGGTGCCAGAATGATGACATAAACCTAAAATATAATAATATTATGTTTATTTATACTTATAAATATACTCTTCGAAAGGTTTTGTTTTTTATTATTGGTACGTTTGATAAACCGGTCTTTATATATTTTTGGCGCATTGATGATCTCATAGTTAAGAAATCTTATTTTTATAAACACAACATGTAAATTATTAAACTTTATGGTATGTTATTATTTTTTTAAATAGCACAAAACATAACAAACATACCTATAGCACATGCACATATTTTTCACAATCTACGTCACGTATTGTAATTCAATATAAAAATATTTATTCATGGAATAAGGTATTGTTCGGAGAAAAAGCCACCATTGTGATCGTATGTAGAATTATTAAGTAGGTGATTTTTATTTTGCTAACTGAATCGTTACTTATACTAAATATGTGCCTACAATATCTATACATATAATAAAATTCTGAGTTGAATCTGTACATTAAATATTTTTTGGAAAATCTTATTGAAATAGTTATTTTTCCGATAGCGAGGCCAAATCTATAGTTTTTAGAATTATTGCCTGTCTGTCTATCCGGGAACGCATCACGAGAAAACCACTGGACAGATTTGGATGAAATTTGGTATGATGATAGCTTTTATCCAGGTCAACATTTAGGATACTTTTTACTGTGGGAAAATGTCTTATCTCTAAGAAATCTATAATAAACTTTAACACGTCACTCGGAACGAACCCGAACGGAGCAAGGGTTGCTAGTACTCAATAAAAAAAAACACCAAGCACGAACACAAATTAAAAAAATTATTTATATTTCGAGGCATGAATACCCTTTAACACTAATACATGTATATATAGTCGAGATGTATACTATAAGCGCTTGATAATATCAACTTCTTTGTTTTTAAAGTACTTTAGAAAAAAATTATATAACTACCTACTTGTAATATGTATTGTATACGTTATCGTAATACATTTTTATGCCTTACATCGACTTTTACAACGTCATCTTACCTACCGATAAGGTTTAATTTTCCATATTTACGAGTATGTAACATTGGAATGCAATGAATAGTTCCACTTGTTATTCAAATTATAAAAAAACACATAGTAGAAATATAAACAACAGAAAAAATTCAGACTTGATTGTAGCTAATCGGTGATTTTATTTTAAACTAGCGACTCACCCTCGCTTTGCTTGGGCTCGTCCTGGCCGTTTTTTTAAATTGTCATACTTTTTTATTTATTTATAAGCCGATTGAAATAAAATAAACACAAAATAAAAACAAAATTTTAAGTGAATAATAAATTAGAGAAACCCACACCAAATTGGTTAGGCCGTTTCTGCGATTATCGCGCACAAACGCACAGACAAACAGACAAAAATTCTAAAAATCATTGTTTTGGTTCTATTGATTTAATAAAGACCCAAAATAATAGTTTTTCTCAAATATCTTCCACATACAGACAGACATCAGTTACAAATTAATTATATGTATGATTATTTATTTTTTATTTCTCAGAAGCGAATAAATAAAATAGAATTGAAAAAAAGAGCAGATGAAAGAATAAACTTTTATTCAATTGACTGTCATGTTTACATTACGCTTTTATATTGTGCATTTGCATAGGCTTATGTTGCTTTAATTAATAGGGCTTATGTAATTAACGACACGCTTGGCTCAGTTTGTAGTGACCCTACTTGCAGTGCCAGTGGTCCCGGGTTCGAGTCCCGCTGGGCGCATTCATTTGTGTGATGAGCACGAATGTTTGTACCCCAGTCATGGGTGTTTATATTTATAATATGTATGTATTGAGAGTTATATACGTGTAGTGTATCATCTGTCTGCTACCCATAACACAAGCCTCGTAGCTTACTATTTTTAAAAAAAAACTAAAAGGTACGTTTGTTAGAGATAGATAGATATTATAGCTTATAGCCAGCGAAATATTATGTAAAGGTCAGTTTAATTTTAGTATTTTAATAAAAATCCTATTGACATAAAGTTTAAGTTTTAGTACTCATGTAGGTACCTACTTGTTAACCAATGCAATCGTGTTGCTAATATAACAAAACTAAAGTAATTATGGCAACAATGTTAATATAGCGAAATCAAATAAACTTCAAACAAATCGTCCACTCAATGCAATCGCAATTACGAATTAAACGAGAGAAATGCACTTAAATAAACATAGTTGATTGTAGGTACTTCTTGCAAGAATTGTTGTAAATATTTCCTATACCAAAATGGAGAATTCTAGAAAAGTAGAGAGCATAGAAACACAATATATTTCATTCAATTTTCTAACATTTCTAACATAATCTGTATAAAAATTTAAAACTGAGCTTATGCGTATTTAATTAATTAAATGTTAGGTACTGGTGTAAACTAAGTAGTTTCATTATTTTTGAAGTTAAAAATATCATAATAAATTGTATTGTGTTGTTTTGTTGTTTATACCATAAATAGAGTTCCTTTGTATATGTTATAGATAAATAAAATTTGAGTGTCTGTTTGTAATGTCGAAATAAAAGCTTTTTACTAAATGCATATGCTCTATACTAAAAACACAATTTTTAAAATTTTTGTCTGTCTGCCTGTTTGTTCCGGCTAATCTCCAAAACGGCTAGATTGATTTTGAGGGGACTCACACTAGCAGATAGCTCACGTTATAAGAGTAACTTTGGCTACTTTTATTTTAGAAAATGAATTAGGATTCAACTCAAAAAAAACGTACCCAATGCCGCACCCGAGCCAAGCGAGGGTAAGTCGCTAGTTTTATTAATTAAAAGTCTTCTTTACAGGACATAGTAAAAATAGTGTATCGATTTAAATAATAACTAGCGGCACTAGGCGGGTTCGCCTCTAGAAAAGCACAAACAGATCTATTCCACGGGAACCATTCATTTTTCCGGTGTTTAACCTGCAATATAAGGTATCAGCATGCGAAATTTTACTAAATTAAGTGCATAAGTTGCTGTGCTCTAAGCTGTATAACTTACTGTAGTTTTTTTCTATCCCACGGGAACTCTTTAATTATCCGGGATGAAAAGTATCTAAAATGTTGACCGGAGATATAAGGGGTACCACTATGCAAAATTTAATTTAAATCGGTCCAACAGTTTCGGAGATTAGCCCGTACAGACAGACAGACAGACAGAAAAACAAAAAAATTGAAAAAAGTCTGAATTTGTTCTATTTGCCTTGTTACATACCCCTGACTCGTTTTTTCAGCATTTTTTTCTATGTAGAGACATTCAACCTCTACAGTTTTATTATACAGGGTCGATTTAATTTACTGTAACCTTTTGGGAATATACTATTTACATCATAACAACATCTGTAACAAGAAAAAATAATACCTATTTTTTATATTTTTATTTTCATACAAAAATAAAAATATTATTTTGCACCTTCTAAACTTTAAAGTTCTAGCATCTAGCCAAATTTAAATGACTAAGCATGGCTTCCTACACCCCTCCACCCCTCCCTCTCCACCGGACACGCTCTTTTGCTAATGCTGGACTATTACCGTTGAGAAGATGCAATAAAAATATATTTATTTTTGTTAAATTTAAGATATATTATTTTTTTTCTTACACATGTTGTTGTTATGTTGTAAATAGTATATTCCCAAAAGGTTTTCAGTAAATTAAAAATGACCCTGTATATATATATGAGTGTTTTATTTTGACATTTTGTCAATTATTTATTAAGTTCAATATCGTAGGTATTGTGTCCTTTAGTCAAGTGTCCTACCCATGTCTCAGCGCTTGAAATGTAATATTCAACGACAATGTCGTACATAATATTCTGTCCGATTTCAAGCAATTTAGGAAAAAAGGTGATATTATATTTAATAATTCTATTTATTTGATACATAATATGTTATACACACAATGAAATAATTTCGGATTATTGGTATTGTTTTATTAGACGAACAATTTGGGAACCACGCGAAGTTGTCTGTTACCGCATCACAGAAAAACCACTGGAGGGATTTTGATGAAATTTGGTAGAGTGATAGCTGGTTATCCGGGTCAACATATAGGATACTTTTTACTGCGGAAAAATATCTCATTTCTGAGAAAAAAATACAAAAACTGCATTATAAGAGTATACTAATATGTAAAACCTGAGAATTTGGTTTTGGTCATCTGAACGCGGGCGGATCCGCGGGCAATGCTAGTATTATATAGAAAAGGCACCTAACGAGCGAAGCGTATGTAAGTCACTAGCAGTATATATTATTATTTTTATATATTTCGCGTAATTTCAATAATTCTTGTGTATTATTTTCTCTTTTGTAAAATTTATTAAGTAACATCAATATAACGGTCCGGGTGACGGGTCACAGGTGTGCGTTTTCCCTTAGGTTTAAGTGAATACGCTGAAGGGTTTCATCATATTTTATGGCTTCTGGAGTGAATTTAGGTTTATATATTATATTTCAGTGTAAATCTATTTACATATTTTGATTATGTTATTAAATAAAACAAAAATCTATTTTTTAAATTCAACGTTTTAAACAATGTACTTACTTTTTTCATTTATTTATTTGCAATTGTCTTCAGCTACATTAAATTGTTATCTTTTAGTCACGATTCACGATGTGTATACTTTGTTCTTTTTATAATAAAGTAATTATAATATATGGAAGAAATAAAATGTTATTTATTTCTTACGTTTTCTTATGTTTTTACGTGTAATACCTCCATTATATGAGTCCATACGTCTGAGATTCAAAATTTATTTAATACGTATCTAAGATGCATACATAAAATTTGATTTAGATGTTATTTTATGAATTTTCATTAATTTATAATTTATCGTTGCTAGAATGTTCGATATGTATAGTTATTAGTTATATGTAGCTAGCAGGTCATGACCACTGGGCTTACATTACTTTGATTTATGTGTTTATTAGTTAGTCTAATCAATTCCCTTATCTTTTATAATTATTATAGACTAGCGGATCACCCCCGCTTTGCTCGGGTTCGCTTCTAGATAAACAAAAATAAATTTATCCCACGGGAACCGTTCATTTTTCAAGGATACAAAGTAGCCTATTTCTTATTCTGATGTATGAACTATATTATTGTAAGGTTTCATTAAAGTCAAATCAATAGTTTTGTGTACTAAGCTGTATAAGTTGAATGATTGCTGTATAAGATGAAAAGATTTTAACTATTCCACGGGAACTCTTGAATATTCCGGGATGAAAAGTATCTAAGATGTTGACCGGGGATTAAGGTACCATGCAAAATTTCGTTTAAATCGGTCCAATAGTTTTGGAGATTAGTCCGTACAAACAGACAAACATACAGAGAAACAAAAAAATAAAAAAATACTGGATTTGTTCTATTTCTCTTCTTACATCCCCCTGATTCGGTTTTTAGCATTTTTTTTCTATGTACAGACATTCTACCTCTACAGTTTTATTATATGTATAGATGTGCAAGGAAATATTGTACACACATTTTATAATATTTAAGCAATCAGTTCAAATAAAAACTTTTAATATACATTGGCGAAGCCAGAATTTTACTTTAGAGGAAAACTTATCACAGGGATCAGCGGTGATTTCCGCGTTAGAGGGAGCTAAAGTTCTTATATGGTTTATATGGGAAAAATTAATGAATATTGATTTTATTATATGGGGGTTTTTTGGTGTTATGGTTTCCTTTAGTCCTGTTTTCTAGGTATAGAATAGCTATAGCCAGAACTGATTGGATTTATAGCACGCTGTACTACTTAGTTCAAAGTTTCAAACAATAATAGAATCTGACTAATTAAATTTCAGAAATTATAAGAAAATGCAATGATATAAAGCTATATTTTGGCGAGCTTTTAGTAACATAAAACATATTCGTAATAATATCTGTTACAATTATTGAAATATTGAAAAAAAAAAACTATTTATTTCGCTTGCGTATTGCCAAATGAAATATTATAATAATATTCTAAGTACTTTGTCAGCATATACATATTATAATACACGTCGCAGATGCTCAGAATTAAGGAACTTTCATATACTTTATATTATATATTATCATAACATATGGTGCATTACTAAGTTAGAAACTCCATATGTATGTATTCAACGGTCTACTTACGCAGATCCAATTATAAAGAAAGTTGTTTGTACATGACGTGTAAACAAATGGTAAGCCACTCGCGCGTATATCTTCATATGCGTACGCGACTCTTGGAGGTCCAATGAAAACTGGTAAACTGGTATCACTCAAATATCTGTTAGCTTATAACACCATAAAACACACACGCAAAAATAGATTCTAGCGTGTAGTAATAAAGTCTCTAATAGAGTCACTATTTTCTGATATGTGAACCGGTGTTCACGATCAACTTTCGTATTAATGAATTTGTGCAAGTGTCCTTACGTCATCGTAAACGAGCCTTAATGACCATATAAAAGGTAGGATTAGGGGTCAACTACATATTTCACAACGTTTGAAATTGTTATGTGCGCGTCATTGGAAAATTGCGATGTAAACAATATATGTATATTGTATATTAATAATAACAAAGTATAATTTAGAGATATAAGAGTAGATATAAGAGTCATATAATGACTGGAACTGCTCAGTACTCATTAAATAAAACTCATAAGATTTGCAGTTAAAGCTATTTTTAAGATTTTTGGTCTGAATTTTTATTCGGGCTTATTTATAAATCAACAGAATAGATTTGAAAGGGACTTTTTCAAACGTGCTCAGTACTCAGTAAACTGTGGCATGTGCTACGATTCATTCTAAGGATCGCGGTATAAAATATAGCAGTACTAGCAGAACCCGCGGCTTCGCTCACGGTAAAACTACAAAAAATTCTAATAAGGTAGTTTCATAAAAACTTCCATCCCCTATTTTACCCCCTTATAGGATGAATTTCTGAAAATGCTAAAACACGTATTTATTTAATTTTATTGAAGAGCATTAATACTAAGTTTCAAGTAATTCTGATCATAAATATTTTTTTGGATTGTATTATAACGTGTTTTCCCGTGGGAATTAGATAATTTACTGCGGTAAAAAGTAACCTATGTCACTCTCAAGCCCTCCAACTATCTCCACACAAAAAATCATCCCAATCTGTCACTCCGTTTTGACGTAAAAGAAGAATAAACAAACAAACACGCATACTCACATTTATAACATTAGTATGGATTATATAAGCACTCTCAGTATGAAAAACTATTATAGGTATATATGTTTGTATAAAATAACATAGTTATTAATTGCTAATTTAATTTAGTATTTTACTAACGACTTATTTTCGCTTCGCTCGGTTGCATCTCTAGATTTGTTTTAAATATATTAAAATAGTTACTGTAAGTGTACCTTAGGAGATAGACGCATGTTATTAACAATTTTTCTAAAGGCATTTTTTTTTAAATTGGAATCGAATATTTTGGAAAATTTTATTGAAATAGTCATTATTATTCATTATAGAGGCCGAATCTATAGTTTTTAGAATTATTGTCTGTCTATCCGTCTCTGTGACCGCGTCGCGAGAAAACAACTGGACAGATTTTGATGAAATTTGGTATGATGATAGCTGGTTATCCGGGTCAACATATAGGGTACTTTTTACTGCAGGAAAATAACTAATGATGATGTTCTCCTAGCCGATTCCGGCTACGGTGGCCAATCTCATTGAGACTAGCCAACTGCGCAGGAGATATTATAGTGCACAAGTGTGCGCGCAGACACAAGTGCACTCTCTATTCCTGTCACTCTCATACTCCGGTGGGACGACTGCTCGACACGACCAGTGAGAGTGTCGGCGCAGGACCGACGGCTTTACGTGCTCTCCGAGGCACGGGGGTAAAGCACCGCCAACTTCCCAACTCCGGGCTGTTACTGAGACTTACTATACAGAAAGACTCAATAACTAAACTTGGCCCGACCCAGGACTCGAACCCAGGACCTCCGGGTGTGCAGCTGTACATGCTAGCCACTACACCATCGAGGCAGTTAAAAAAAAATAACTAATATCTGAGAAATCTATACTAAACGTTAAATCGTGATTAGGGACAAATCCACGCAGAGCGAGGGTGAGTCGTTATTATTAATATATATAATGTTTAATGTTTGGCGATATTTTTTATGACAGGGTGATTTGATTGATGATGATAAAAAATAGCCGATGTCCTCCTCCATCAAGGCATGAAGAGATAACAAATAATAATATATATTTTTTCTTACCAAGAGGTAGTATTTGAAAGGTTTAATATTAGGTTTTTTTTATTAAAAGGTGCTCTAGGTACTTTTTAACGGTTAGTATGGAATAGATAGACTATATGTATGTATCAGTGGCGAAGCTCCCATACAAGACGTCTTACCTTAAAATTATTTTGCTATAATTTTACATACATTTAATTTTTTAAATCTATATATATATATATAGATTTAAAAACATACATATTATATAATTTACATACATATATATATATATATATATATATATATATATATATATATATATATATATGTATATATTTAATAAAAGCGTGTATTAAAATTGTATATTTTTGGAATGGCTTACTTCTGCTAAAATTTCATCCTTTGCTACTGGTATATATTATATGATAACGATCAAACAAACAAACTCTGCCTCTTTATAATATAAGTATAGATTAAATCTCAACTCAAATTCTAGCTAAAAGTAATTACAAAGTCTTTGACTTTAATCGCGGCTTATAAACCAGACTAGTGATTCATTACGGATATTTTATAAGTGATTTTTGAGTTTTACATAATAATATTACTTGTAATTATGAAAACAAAGTGTTCTACAATTTTTACTTTATAAATGAGAGAAAAGTGTTAGCTAAAAGTAAAATTACCTAAATGCTTCAAAAATAGTACATAATTATGAATTCTCATATGATTGCTGATTTCCTATCTATGATTTTGTGCAAAATACCTGTTTGTTTGTGATGGGTATCTACTAGAAGGCAATAACTCATAATTAAGCGATCACGACAAAGAAACGGAATTCGCTGTCATGCGTACAAATTGTCAGTTTCAGCCAACCTTGGGTAGAGGAGGACGGGGCCAAAAGGTTCAATTTATTTTGGTATGAGCATGGGATCTCATCAGGAACATATGAAAATAGTTTATACAAATGACAACAATTGGTCTAATATGTACGGATTAATAAAAAGAACCTCGTTCTTTTTGGAAGTCGGTTAAATATAATACATTTTGCTGCTTAACAGTAAGTTTGTTATCAAAAATTAATTCTGGTGGTGTACTTCTCTGCAATTATAACGAAACTAAAAGAGATAATCAGTTTTTGTATATTTAAGATAAGATACATATTAAGATTCTTGACAAATGATTGAATCTACCACTAATGTAACTTTATATTCAAGTAATATATTACATATTGACGACACCTTTGCCTCAGTTTGTAGTAACCCTACTTGCTGTGCCAGCGGTCGCAGGTTCGAGTCCCGCTGGGAGGTATTCATTTGTGTGATGAGCACGAATGTTTGTACTCCAGTCATGAGTGTTTATATTTATTATATAAACACTTGTTTTTAAAGTTGTATATGTGCAGTGTATCAACTACCCGGTATCCATAACACAAGCCTCGTAGCTCACCATGTGATAAATGGTGCTGTGTGTTAATGTCCCAATATATTTATTTATTATTTATTTTGTTTATTTATATTAATCAACGAAGAATGATGATAGGTACTAATTGAATTTCAGTTATTCTGTATAAATAATAATTAATAGATAGTCACCTAGTCAGGATTGCAAGATATCTAGGGCAAATTCAAAGGATTCTCAAAGTTATGTAAGCTATGTTTAGTTTTGACCGATGAAGTCACTAGGTATTTAGTCTGTTTTATGTTTATACCTACCTTTTTATCTATACATATAATAAAATTCTAACTAAGCCGAATTCATTCATTCCATTACATTAAATATTTTTTGGAAAATCTTATTGAAATAGTCATTATTATCGAAACAGAGACCGATTCTATTATTTTTAGATTTTTTGTCTGTCGCATCACACATCACGAGAAAACCTCTGGACGGATTTTCATGGATATGGTGATAGCTGGTTATCCGAGTCAACATATAGGATACTTTTTACTGCGGGAAATATCTCATCTCTGAGAAATCTATACTAAACGTTAAAACGTTACTAGAGATGAACGAATCCAAGCGGAGCGAGGGTGAGTCGCAGGCAAATAAAATAATAAAAATAATAAATTGTATCAAAACTGACTATGATATGATACTCATAAACGCCTCATTTTGTATACATATAATCTATATTAGTGCCCACTAATATTATAAAAATTAAGAGATTGATGTTCGATCAGCTAATGTCAGGAATCACAACATCAATTTTGAATTTCTTTCACTTACAATATCTATTCCGCTTATTAAAAATGTGATCTATGAGAGACCTTTTCAAGGAAAATAATAGTATATACTTATTTATTTCTAGTGAATTTTAATGGTTCAGCAGAAAAAGAGTTACTTTCTGTGTAGAAGACTTGATTTCTCGCCAACATCGATATATATATATATATATATATATATATATATATATATATATCGATGTGTTATTGTGTATATATATATATATATATATATATATATATATATATATACACACAATAACACAGGCTATTGTGCAGATTTTACATTCAGGCAAGGCCTTCGTAGCATAGAAAAAAAGTTATTAGATAATTTTATCTTCAGTTATATAAACCAATAACAATCGTAAGTACGAGTAGATATATCAGTACTGTGAGGATAATTTAATAAAAAAATAACAATTTGTATTTTTTGTTCTGTTTTGTTGACGGAAGTATGGGGATAATACGCCACCATCATTTAAACCTGGTTAAGGCCAGGGCCGGTCTCAAGTATAGGTATAGTTAATTTAAATTACTAATGAGTATTGGCATGATTTTTAGATAAACACTTGAATGTATTTTCAAATCTATAAATATTGTTTATGTATTTCAAAACAGTACACAATACAAATACTTAGTTATTGAAGGGAATAAAGTCTTCATACAAGTAAAATTAATAAATAATATATGAAAATATATAGTAAAATTTATTTTTATTTCATTATATACACTATTCTAAAATAGTTTCCCAACGTTAAAAATTCTAAATAGCTAACTATTTAGAATTTTTAACGTTGGGAAATGCATTAACACATACCACCGATATACATACAAATGGTTGTATGGGATTTACCGGCTAGAAAAGTCAGTACTACCGTCTAAAACCCAACGGATCCTCTCCTGTCTTAATGCCCACTCACACTTAACCATGACTCACCTTGCTGCTCTGCTTGCTTGCTCATTGCTGCAACGCCTTACCCTGCTATTAGGGAAGAACCTGG